AAGTTCATTGCAACGTTCGTGATAACTCACTGCAGAGTGTTTACCAATCAGATGTTTAGTACATGACCACTGCAGGTTCTCCAAAGCAATTCTGTCACTAGTTCTCAAATTTCCTTATATTATGCTGCAGTATTCTAGGATGGGGCGATTGAGTATCGTGAAAAGCTCAACTCTAGCACGAGTTGTAGACATTTTGTTCGATATATTGAACATGGACTGTCTGGCACCTGCTGCTTTGTACTGGTTTTGTTCGGAGCAATTGTATTTAGACGAATACCTGCTGTCATAATCTCGCGTGGATAACTGTGTAGGTACGCGTTCATTTTTTAGGGTGATAGATCCTACGGGGATGCAGCTGCCGTAAGACATGATGATTGATTTCTTTGCCGAGAGGTTCATCACCCGTGTGCAGCACCATTACTCAAGGGAATGTAAATCATCTTGAATAAGCAGTAATGTCCCGTAAACCTCGTCAAGCTGAAACTTTTGAACTAGTTTGATATCGGCAGCAAATAAGAATTATGTACCATGTTTTACAGATGGGGTGATGTCATTTATGTAAAGCAAAAAGAGTAAGGAGCCGAGCACGGTCCCTTGAATGACTCCACTGGTGATTGGGCGTGGGGAAGAGCGATTATCACCTAAAGTGACTATCTGATGATGATCACTCAGGTATGACGATAGCCAACCTAGAAATGGGTCCCGTGTCCCAAGGTTCTCCCTCTTTTGTAGCAGTCGCTTGTGCGGTACTCGGTCGAACGCTTGGTGTATGTCAAGAAACAAGATTACTGCTGCATAGGCGGTATCGATTGCTTCTGAAATGTGATTAAGGTAATGCAGTTGAAAGATGGTGCACAACCGCTTATTAAGAAAACCATGCTGCGAATTATTAACCAGGCCAATAGAATCAACAAAGTTCATTATCTCCATTTTGACCAGCTTTTCAAATAGCCGAGCGATTATCGGAGGGTGGTGGATTGGTCGGTAGTTATCAATGGTTTGTTTGGGACGTCCTTTATTCCGAGGCATACTAAATGAGGTTTTCCATTGGTCTGTAAAATGGCCAGATTCTAACGATAGAGTGAACATGCTCATCACTAGCAATGATATATCAGGTACTCCTAGTTTAATGATGGTTGCTGTAATGTCACCAAATCTCAGCTTGGAAGATGGCCTGATTGATTTAATAATTTGATGGATAGTGTTGAACGAGATATTGACTCTGCTTAAGCGGTTTGTTTCCGTGAGCTCTGTGCACACAGGCACCGGGTCAGCTTCGCGACTCATGGTAGTGGCAAAATGTCGCTGAATGCTTCACATATTTCAGCTGGGTCATTGAGTAAGTAACCCTCACCATCAACAGTTTCGCTAATCTGAGGAGAGCGGTCACTGGTTCTACGATGCAGTATTTTGACAAGCTCCCTATCTTTGAAGCTTGTCCGTAGGACTGTATGTACTACATTTTTTCGTCGTGTTCATTGTCCATGTTTGACGCTGGTGGTAAATTCATGTATCTGTAAGACAAGTGAAAAGTCATGGGTCCTTCTGTATCTTGCAGCTAACATTTTGGTTTTCTTGCTGATTAACTGCTCGACGGAATCTTTGGAGACATGAGGGGTATGAATACATTGTGGAGCAAGGAGGGCTATAGCGTGATGGATTTGTTTATATAACTGTTCCACATCGGTGTAGACACTGGTAGAAATGAAAAATACATCCCAGTCGGAGAAACGAATGAACTGCTGAAAGCATTACCAGTTTAGCTTGCGGGTTGCAAGTTTTCATTGTAGAGGCAAGTTTAGTGACCATTTTAATCTGGAAGCTGAATCCCATCATGTCACGGTCAAGGCCATGGAGATTGTTTAAGATCGCGGTCTGTGGATTGGGTATCCTCAATGTGAATATTAACTCCAGTACATTGGCGGACCTGATTGGACTCGTAATCCACTGTGTTCAACCCCCAGTTCTGATAGAAAAAAGAAAAGAGGCTTGCAGGGTAGAAGCTGGGGGGATGGCCATCGTATTTTCGGTAGGTTGAAGTCGCCGGCAATAATCTTCTGGCTGTATGGCAACTCTGATGCCAACCCAAATGCAGAGGTGATTTCGGTGATATTCACGTTAGACGCATTCGGTGGGTTGTAGATACATACGAGCAGTGTGTAAGATGAGACACCCGCAACTAACAGCCAAATAGATTCGGGGATATTTTCCAATTGTGAGTGGTCTATATGGTTAGCTGTAAATGTTTCGCGTAGGTGTGTGATACACCCTCTACCTTTTCTGTCGCAGTGATCTTTTGGAAATAGGTGGTAGTTTGAAATCATCAGAGTAGAGTCAAGTGTATCTGCAGAACACCGTGTTTCAGTGCCGAGGATCGCTTGTGGGTCATTGAACTGTACAATTGTGTTTATGAGATGAAGTTTGTCGATTATGGATCTGGCATTAATCAAAATCACTGAAAATGTACTAAGTATTGGGGAATGATCGCTGTCCGTTGTGTGATCGTCTGAATCTTTGTGTTCATGCATGGTGCACATGGTAGGTAAGTGCGAGTATGTTGGGCCCGAGTTAGCCATCAGAACTTTTGTTGATAAGGGTAGCATGTCGTGTGCGGATATCGAGACAGTTGGGGGCACGACGGGAACCCAGGCATCATGCTTAGGTTGCCGTTGGTTTGACAATGGACTCGTTTTGTCATGTGGACAAATTGGAGGAAGAGTGGGATCAAGGTGTTGTCCTCCGCCGAATGTATCTGAGATGAGAATGGATGCGTCCATCCCCGTCGCCGCTAAATATGGTTGTTGGAAGAAGCCGCTTGAGAGGTTGAAGGAACAGGGGAATGTGCGGGTGGTAACATAGTCCTACTGGTCGACGTCGTTCCAGTATTTGTGCACTTCCAGTGATTGTTGTGGAGTGTAGGATGATAAATAGGCATAGCCAAGTGCAGTAGTTATTGGACTTATTCAACATGGAAGGTTTCTTGCCCTGGTGGTTGTAGGAGTTTGGTCGATAGGGAAGTTGGGGTGCGAACGAATATTAAGTATCCATATGTTTTTAGTGACACAGGTCCCTGGATTGGAGAAGTCGTCTTTGGGCGACACTGGACTATGAATTACATCAGGTTGTCTATCCTTGGACGTGTCTTGTTGGTTTGGACCGGGTTGTGATATATTTATTCATCGAGTTGTCATTACTCCACTGTTCCAACCAATTGGACTTTACCTTAATCCTTGTACATGAGGAGTTCGATATAATGCGTGTTGTTGTCAGGAATAGGAGAACCCGCTTTATCCGTTATTTTGTCAACGGTGTTTCAATGGAGCAAGAAAAGAACGGCTCTTAAGCTATTTGACAACGTTGCTGGATTCTCGATGTCTAAATCAATGCATCTAGTATTCACCTTGGGTGCACTCCTCTTTTGGACGTTTGGCTGAGATTTCTCGAAGAGCCTAGTTATTTTGTCGGGTGTTCGCAGCACAGTGCCAAATTCGGACCTTTGTAGGGGTGTCCTATCTGGTTTACTCAAAATACAGTTAAAATGGGTGCACTAGCCTAGGAAGCGTCCACAATGGAGGAATCGCTGCGCGACTTCCTCGCTCAAAAATTTGAAAATGATTGGACAACAGTTTCGCTGTCTTCTTTTTTAAACGTTGACATTTGTGCGCGACCTCAGACAAGTTTACAGCTTTCGTTAGTTTTACTTTATCCAGACTCATCTTGTCCGGAATATTAGAAACAATCACATTTTTTACCCTACAGATTCATTCGCACACTTCAGAGACAACAGAGGCGATTAACTGCCATGCTTTTCCCATTAGAACACGGTCAGTCTTCTCCAATTGGTTATTGATGCAGTCAAGCGTAATCAGGTGATCTTTGAGGGGTTCAAAGATTGCCAGCGTTTTTCTCATCTCATTAAGTTGTGATTTTAAAGAAAGCAATTTATCACTCAGTTCTGCGATGAGTATAGTTTTAGCCGAGGAATAGGGTCGCTTTACTTTTGGGGTATCGCACTTTATTCGATTTGCTGGTGGCGTGGAAACTACACTACGCTTGGCTTGCTGAATGCGGTGAGACTTCACTGGGGCCAATGCGACCCAAGCTTATGATTCAGACTCAGTCAGGATTGCAATTGAAACCCCCGGCATCCGTGAGCATCCGTGTTTTCACTTCAACTGCGAGTAGGATAACAGCGGTTGCTCGCTTCGACAGCACATCGTTCTATTCTAATGATGCTTCGTTGCTCGTAACCGCTGGATGAGAAAACGCTATAGCTTACCCTTAGCGGAGACTTACGTTTTGGGGCGCAGAGGTTTTAAGCCATATATTTTAACTGAGTTACACACACGGCTCGGAGTTTGCCACGTAGACTGGATCGCGGTACTCCTAATGGACGAAAAAGCTAAGACCCAACTTTACAACTTCTGTTATCATCAGATTGAAATGTTGCCTTACAATATCCATGCCTTCATGCATTCAGCGTTCTAGAGTAGGTCGTCCGACAATGATACAGGAAGCGACTTAACTTTGGGACACTGACTAGTTAATCGCGATTTGATCTCGGCAGTGTCCATATATAGCAACCAGAGTAGCCTTCGTCAATTTTTATGCAATTTCCAGATTACATCCATTTCCATTTTGCCCAACAGTATTAGTTGCAATACCAGACGGTTAATGCTATCGCCCAATCTCAAACTCTATGATCCGACTCGTCTTTCGTTATACTTTCTCGCGTGTTTTTGGTAGAGCTTGTTTTCATTGGGCCAATAATGCGTACATTTCGACACAGTTAAAGCTATTTTTATCAAAGTCATGTCCTAACGTGGTACGTCAGGTTGTGAGAATGAAATTCTTCAGCTTCACTGTCTCTAAAACTTATGAGTAATCCTCATATTTGAATTAATGTAGTCCCAGAGAACATACAGGAGTGATGAACGACGTTCCGTTGCTGTGCAGTTTATAATGACATGATATTCACTTTTCCCCGTTCTCTCATTCAGGTTCTTGCCACGGACATGTCCAAGCACATGAGCTTGTTGGCGGACTTGCGAACCATGGTGGAGGCTAAAAAGGTATCCGGTTCCGGTGTGCTCAATCTGGACAACTACTCAGACAGGCTTCAGGTAAATCATCCCTATATGGGCTTCACTTAATGTCTGTATGTTTATCATGATGTTAAGGATTAAATAAGGTCAGCAATCTACTTTCTAGCTTTTTCTTCTGTGCTTACTTCCTATTTTAATAGTAGTTAAATGCCAGCTGTTGACGGTAGTCTAGGCTAGATTCTCTCACAGTCCTTTCTTTTCAAACAATTAAAAGAATAAGCAGTTATTGTGTGATCGTATTCCTTGGTTTAGGTTTTACCTGCAGAAACCCCACTTACTGGATTTTGCTGTCAGTTTCTTTTACTTTATTTTGTAAATGTTTGAATTGTACACCTTGGATAAATGCCAACGCAGCTGTGTACTTTTCTTTTAGCTACTTCCCAATACATAAAATGCAGTTTCTATCCAACTTCAACATGTTTAGTGATGGTTAAAACAATCCTTAACTCAGGTCGCAAATTTCACTAGCACCATAATGGCTATACTGTCTGGCAAAACATTCCTATGACACTTTATTTATCCTGCTGTAAGGAGAAAAATAGGTCAGTTTGGATGACAGTTAACAGTAAATCACATGCAACGGTGTGCCCTAGTTTGCATTATTAAGTTATTCTGCTTACATTGGATTGAGTACGGGAGAATAGTTTCCCGTTACACCCGAAAAAAACAAAGACTCCATGAGTTCCTGCCTTGAATCGAAGCAAAGAAATAAAGCGGCTCAAAATTTCATGAGAATACAGTAAGTTTGTAAGATCTGCCATGAATCAGTTGCTGCATGCTTTCTCTGAGTCGTTAAAACCCACGTTTGGAAGCAGCAAGCCGGTTTACATTACACATGGCCTGTTCTCGCTCGAAATTCTGGATATAGACGAGAATAACTCAGACGACTCCCAACTTCGTTTTGTTAGGTGAAATGTGCGTTGCTGATGAGCTCCAAGGTAGCAGAGCTGCGGACCATTGGCCACTTTGACAGGTTATTTGTTGTATCTGGTAAAGTCATTTAGGGAAACATCAAAGAACCGTTTCCATTATCGCATCTGCCCTCCAGGCTTACGTGGAATCTGCTGATGAGGGTTAGAATCAAGAAACTTGCTACTGCTGGCTCATGGCTAATAATAATTAGCTAACCTCTACCTGCATTTACTTGCACCCAATTTGTATTTATCTGAGCAATTAGCACGTTAAATTACTGGACAAAAATTCAGCGTATTTTATCCAGAAGTTACTGCACAAGTGATACCTTAAGGGTTGCCTTATGGCGTTCATACACTACGTTATCAATCTATCATTGACTTATTTTAAGACACATGCTATAAGTTTCATACTATACTCGGAAATAATGACACGAATTCGAATTCCTAACCGAACAAGTATAAAGGAGTAACTGACTAAGCACTACCGCTGACAATCTGCAATTAAATGTTTTTGATTTTTCATAATTCTATAGAGTTGTACAGAAGCATTTCTGTTTGCTCTTAAATACATTCTCAGTCTCAGATGGGCGTGAGTACAAGCAACATTATCGACGGAAACGTTTAGGTTAGTATGATTCAACATTTAACAGGTACGATGATACAGCAACATTTATTTAAATTGTACATAGAGTAGAAATGTATCATTTCTGCCTTATCCTACTGGATACGGTAAGGCTCGAAAAATGCAGTGCAACTTCTCATTTTGGGTTGGGTGTTGTCATCTCGACAGTTGGTACATCTGGAAATTTTGCTTGCGTCTGTGTCAACTTTACTAGGAGTACGCGCCTACACAATACAGTAAGGGTGCTAGTAGAACTTTTTTGTTTGCTCTTATCACAAATAATACATACATTGTAATAGGTTCAACTTTCACAATTTATAGTCGGACCATCTCCTGCTTGTGTATTTAATCAAGTATAGACATAAATACAGTCTTAGCGGATGCAAGCGAATATTTGTTATTCTCTCGAGGGTCTCACTACTTAAGTTGCTACATTTTTCAGTCCACACAACTACCTCAACGCTAACTTTTAATCAAACGGAATTGTCCCGTGTTCCCGTAATTCTTGTTGTGGAATATAGTGGAGGCACTTGCTCTTTACAACCAAATCTATCAGGTAAATACCTTAACAAATTTGTCTGCGCATGAGTACGATCCGGCTCGGCTGAACGAGTTATATAGCATAGCATTGTTTGTGCCTATCCAAAGGAAAGAAATGCTAGGTTTGTTGCTCAGATACGTGATTTGTATAATCTGTACTCGGAACAAACTTGGATTCACATTCGTAGCGAAGCCACTCTGCGCATGCGCAAGTGGCTCCAATTCGGTAGGACCCACTTAGTGCAACCAGAGGGTATTTGTTTCGATTGAAATACGTGCTGGTACTCAAAGTGGATTGTAATGGACACGCATGGCTATGACCATAATGTAGGCAGCACATTTGCTAAGCTATATCAAGAGGTCACTTTATGCCATCATAAAAAAGATGATTTCCACTTTAGATTTATATGAAAAGCTTAGGTACATTTGAAATTCTAAATCAAGAATGCGCCAAGCCTTGTGCAATTAAGAAAGACAAGTAATCTAAAAGACAGCATTTTCAATCGTTACCTCCGTGAAATTGAAGGGGAGTCAGAACTTCTGCCTTTAGTCCTGCAAAATTCAATCCGATTATTAATGCTTGCTCCATTCACGTATTAATAGATTCGTCCGTCATTCCACACCAAAATTGAGTGGTTATGTACTTTTTCCTTGCAGCCAGAACTTATACTTTAATCTTGTGTATGTAGTCGAAGTTAAATTACAGCTGACAAGAAGCTTCGTGTACTTGGATTTGAGACCGCTTTTAAATTCCGTCATTTTCACATATGTCTTCATGCTTTCATTTGCAAGATTTTGCAAAATATGATTCACTGTGCTGATTTGAGCAATCCGGCCAAACCACTAAGGTTAAATCGAAAATGGACTGGAAGGTTAATGGAAGAATTCTTCCGACAAGGAGACACAGAGCGAAAAATGAAGTTGGAAATCAGTCCAATGTGCGACCGCGAATCCGTCGCTATAGAGAAATCTCAGGTGAGATTTAATTCTTTGGCTGCGATACCGTGTTATTGAACTAAATGTGTATACATGTAGGGCTTCATTTATTTGATTCATACGCAAGTGTTACACGAGTGGCTTTGGAAATATAGCAAATAGTTTTAAACAAAGTATTTCATACTATGAATGGTTATGGTTTCCATTTCTGTCTAACTTTTGGAATATGCTTTGAAGATTATAAGAGTCAATTGTAAAGAATTAAACTTGCCATTAAGGTCATGTCTAGCAAAGCCGAGGATGTACATAACTATTATTGTTACGTAATACCTGCAGGAAATAGCATCGATGAACACTAATATGCACTTTTGACTGGGTGTTCAAGAAATGCTTTACTCCGTAGATAGTTCTATATGTTTCCGCTTCTCAATCTTAGTTTGGTCCATGACTATATTTGAAGTAGCTTTTTTAGCACATCCCTCATCGAGACGGCACGCAGACTTGGAAGTTCTTAATGTTATTCTTTCTTAGCATTGCGCTGCACCAATGATTTATATCCAGTTTGACATCTTCTCCTATCTCCGGCTATATGTACACGGATTGTGCAACAAAGACAGCACCGTTCTTGGAGTGAAATATTGCAGACGAACAACGGAAAGTTTCGTACTCCAACTTTCCGTATCTCGGTACGAAGTGTGGATCATTTTAAATGCCGCATTAATGTCACTGTGCTGGGACTTAATGATGCACCTTAAACGGAATGTGATGGCTCTAAATCATGGAAGATACTTTGAACAGATTTAGAATTTATGATTTCTGCAAGGTTTGGGAACCAAATATTAGCTTTTGCTAACCTGACAAAGCTTTCGTGTCAAAAGCGAAATGCACCAACCGATTGTTTCTAAACCTCAGAAAATATTGTGTTCTCCATAGGCCGAACTTTCTGAGGCAGTGGTGAAGAACGGATCAGGTATCCTTTAATTAGTTTTACTTTTTACCCCTATTTCAGTAAACTATGGACACAAACCTATACCCATCACGTGTGTAGTCTGTTGAATAGATAATTTTCGCAGCAACAGGGGAAAAGGCAAGCACTGGTGTTGTGCAGACGGAGTATCAGGCAACAAACATCATCAGGCCGACCGCATTCCTTGCTGGTTATTCAGTTAATAAAAGATACTCTTTGTAAAGCATGAATGGTGGACGGATGAAGCGAATAGTTGGTGTTCTGCACTCCGCCGCGTCTTCACCATCTTGGTCTTCAGTAGGAAATGTCTCACTTTATCACTGCATACACCAATAGTGTTAAATCCTGCTTGGAAAAGATTGCGTTTCATCCAGTAGGGGTTAGTTAGAAAACCGCTAAGTTGGCGAGTATCATCTGATGATTTTGACTCAAGTGCATAAAATGAGTCTGAGCGTGCAGAATTAACGCTGTTGAGCGTACCACTTTGTTTATAATAAAACCGCGACCGTAGACATCCACAACGCGGTAACGCATTGTATACATTGCATGATGAAGTCCAAACTTGGAAACTCTTAGCAACTTACTGACACAAAGTTTTAAATATTTCAACCGTAACAGCTTTTTCTAAGTTCAGAAACCGAGCCCAACATTTTTGGTTTCGCATGTGTCAAAAACGATTTACAAATCCGTAGTTTTTTCACTCAGGAAACAGGGAACCATGCAACCGTACCTGTTAAACGAAGGTCCTTGTAAACTCAGGGGAGATTTACATTAACTGCGCTTAGTCTACTAAGAGAAAAACCGATACAGATGACTAAGATGGCATTTTGGAATTCAACTGTTTCATTGTGTCGACCTAAAATTTGTTAAGATGACAATACAAAAGGGGTTTAAGCAAACTCAGCCATTTCTGTAAAGTGCGCTCGCAACAGCATGTTTTTATCTAACTATGCCTACACAGAATAGCACTGGTTTACTTGACAGTCGGTGAAAAGTTTCCGTGGTCTTTTCCATACCATTAACGTGACACCTTCATCGTGTTTGCTTTATTCTGTACCAACCGCTCAAATGCCCAGCGCTGTGATGTATTCCACGCGACCGCCACGCAGCATATGTCCACGTGTAAATCAACGTGCTAGCCTCCTAGTCTTTGTAAACCACATTCTGTGTGCTAATGCACACACACCGGACACCCCGGTCGAGAATCAGGCCCAAGGTGCAAAAATTTGCACTCTATCGGATCAAAGGAAACCGAAAGGTACCCGCTACTTCCTCACAATGAATCTTTACCATGCGTCAAGTCTCATGCTCTGTAGAAGCGGAGCAAGAATGCCAGCTAGGTGTGTTAGTGATTAAGAGAAAGTACAGTCAGTTGATTAAATACTCTAGCTGCATATACGCTCCCAGTCACGAAATCAGAAACGCTAAGATGTTCGTCACTAGTCAACAGGTTTGATCAAAGTCACACGAAGAAGAAGTTTCAGCTGCTAATTGGATCACTGGTTAATCACGTTCACCCGAATGACCGTCAATCGCATGATATATATATATATATATATATATATATATATATATATATATATATATGCCCCATGCTGAGGCTGATGTTGCATTCATTATGCTTCCCCAGCGCAGTTGGGCTAAATCAACTTACACTCAAACTAGGGGTTTTTAAGCTGGAAAAATGTTATGCAACTTTAATTGGTTTGTTCTGCCTGCCTGAATAGTCTTCTATTAAATTGCACATGTTGCTTACGTTAATTGTACTTATCTTTGTTAACTTTATTGCGTTTGTAGCATTTTTAAGCAACTTCTGGATATTTTGTACTTATCGCGGATTCGTTGTAAACCAACTTACTTCACGTATTAAGTTAGCGGTAATGTCTACATAGCTGTATACTTTAACAGATGTACGTTACTGGATAACGTTTTGGCGAGCGATCGGTGTGGTTGCGCTTGCTGTGCATGTTGACAAGGTGCCTACCTGTCTATTAGCCACTATCTCGTTCATACTGGCTCCAGGAGACAGTTGGTCGTTGCTGGAGGGGACGGAGTGCACTGTCCTTGTGGCCGTGATAGGCTCAAAGATTGGTTCCATGCACTCAGTGTGGAGAGGACTACGGGCCAGCCACCAGCTTGTGTGTGATTGATTCCCAACTACAGCGTTCTTGTGCTTGTCTGTAAAGGAGTGTGGACCGGCTCAGTTGATGAAATGTGGATCCCATCCACATGCCTCCCGGTATTATTCCTTCGGGTTTACACTGGATATGGGGTGTGTGGTTGGAGCTGTGGGTGGTGCAGCGCAAGTCACCCCTGGTCCCTCTGTAGGCGCAGGTGTCCTGTGGCTGGCCACAGTGACAGAAAAATCCAAAATTTAATGCCACCAACCATTATATATATACATATATATATAAACTATTAGCCATATATATTGCCATCTTTCATGATTTGGGATATCTTTAGCTAATTGACTTGGTTCGCCCTATTGCTAATTTCGAGTAAAACACTGGGTCACATGGGATTGACATCTTTACTTTCCAGGCTATGAAAACGATTAGTACAATCGAGTAGGAGAATGAGTTGACTGGTAGGGGTATAAAATCAGCACATCTTGGCTCAGTCGGCCAGCCATCACCCGCACAAAAGACACAATGCGGCCGTTTCATCCTTCCGGATATCGTCAGCAGAGCGCATTTCATCAGATGCATGTGGGGCCCGAACCCGCAACTCCACTGTTGCCAGTCTGTGTTTAAGACCACTGAGCTACAGGAGATAGTAACGACCGCCATGACTTAGTTACTAGCTGGGAAATAGCTCCGCCCACTATCCACCACTATCCACTGCTTTGCACGTTACTGCTGCGCAGGTGACGGAGTTACTTCTTGCTATATAAATCTGATGAATTTCTACACATACCACTCAACTCCTAATATAATTCGCTTGTAATTAGTACGCAGACTAAACTGCATCTAATGTCAGAAGTTAATTGGTGGCTTAAGTTTGGTACTGAGGGTGCTACCCTGTCCTCTGCACGGTAGTAACGTGCATGTCAGTGGATACTGAGCGAGGCTGTCACATCGAGTAGATTATTCACGACGGTCGTTGCCGTCCCCCGTAGCTCAGTTGTCTTAACCACAGACTGGCAACCGTCGAGTTGCTGTTTTGAACCTTGCTGATTAACACTGCCGAGGATTCCCGAAAGGATGAAACTGCCATACAGTACTTTGTGAGCCTGTGATGGTTGTCCGACTGAATCTAGATGTGATGAATTGCTATTTGTACCAAAACGGTCATCGTATCGGCAGAAATGTGTTTGAATGTACAAAAAACTAAACCGTATTTGTCGTTTTAGGAGTTTCAGAAGAGTTTAAATTATTCCAGCGAGGTTATTCACCACTTAAAATTGTGATCTCCTCACCCCGTATGGATAGGCCCTAGTTCAGTTACCGATTACTTAAGTCGAATCCTAGTTTATTAGGAAATGATGGTTAACGTTTTGTAAATCCAGTAGATTGTGGAGGTGTGTTATTCCAATTCGGATGTTACAAAAATCAACACTTTAAGCTCCAAACGATGGAACACCGTAAGGCTGATGAACCAGGTTAAAAGAGGCAAATATTTCAACCGTAACGAATTATGACTCTGCCATGCACCTCCCCGTCTATCAACATTAAACATACTTGCATCAGCGGTGAGACACAAATTCCCTTGTTATATCGTCGCAGCTTAAACAACAAAGTGCCAGGAGCCAAGAGTAAGCTCCATTCGCATTTCAAAGGCGGCTGAAACAGGAGAGAATTTGCTAGTTTTAATAGAATTGACGCTAGCAGGGAATCTGTTGACACCTTAGACAGCTTTATTACCCACGCAAATTTAGTGCCTTCTGTTGAGGTTGTTGTTTTAGCTGAGCTTCAGCAATTATTGACATATTTGAAGGGACCATACAGTATTTAGTTAACTAACATGACATCCCTGCTTAACCGGTGGTAGCACCTGCTGATTACTCTGGCTGCGTTTAACCCGTACTGATAAGAGTTTGTGGGGTTTCCAACGCAAATAGATCATGCATCAGGCATGATTGTATAGTTTGGATGGTGGTTACAACGCGTTTATGAAGGTACCGGTCTATAGGTCCGCTGTATACAATATTAAAAATCACGTCTTCTTAGAGTACTAAAATCGGAAGGAAGGGAACTGGATTTGTGAATTTTGGTTATCTCTGTTAACTCGATGGTCTTATCTTGATACACCCTACCCTTACCTGTCAAGTATAATGTTGTTCCACCTTATAACGTGGAAGTTTATTGCAACACGAGTTCGTATCATATTCTTGGCATCACTGCCTGAACTAATCCAAAACGGATGTTGTTCGGGACACGGATGTAAACGGACAGAGGGAGCACTGTAAACTACACTTGTCCCCGTCAGTGACAGTGGAATAAGGAAAACTAGCAAGGCGCAAATGCCAAAAAATTGAATGCACGAAAACCTGTACTCCACTGTTCAGCGACAGTACACATGATGACGGAATTACGCAAATCGTTTTCAGGATTCACTAAACTGATATGGTGGATATTCTACGTTGTTCGCTTCAAAAACGAACCCCTAATTTGCGTTTCTTCCTTCAGTCTAAATTTTACACTAAAGGATAGTAGCACCTAGTTTGCATCTCATCGTACCACATATTTAGGAGGAGTTTTCTTGTCTGCATTCCAATGTGGTAACGAGACACAGTGACCTGTAGAATTCTTTCATTCATTTCAATCTTTGAACTTCACAATTTGTTTTTACCGTATGAGGAAACACAAACTCTTAGAGATTCGTGGGTTGCCAGGCCAACACCCGTAGTGCCCATGAAGATCAGGCATACTTGCATTAGTACTGCACAAATGAGACTGCAATTGGAAGATGAACTGCGGCCACTCGCATAGGATAACTATCCAAATTTTCTGTACGTTGCGTTTAACCGCTGTTTTGTTATGAAAAATTGCCCGTTTTATCAACCTGTATTAGTTTGCTGAAAGTTTGGTGAACTTTGGGATACTTCACTGCACAAGATGGCTCAAGTCAAGTCAAGACAAACCCAGAATTCGTTTTTATGCACCCATGAATGGTGAATTTTCAGATGTAACATGCGCGATCCAAATGGTAACGAAAACAATAAAATAATGCAAAAACTGTAAAAACCGGCGACTAAAACAATATTTCGGTTGTGGTACAGAAACATTAAAATGCTGCTGTGCAATTTTGTGAATGATACTATTCGGAGCAAGCGGAAATCTAGCTAGATAAAGTATGGCAAATGAGCCATAGGCCGTGTGTGGGCATATATGTCTCTGTAGTTTCCTCGCGTTGAGTAACTCGATTTGCAGTTGAATAAAACGCTATGTAAAGGATGGTTGATATCAGTGATTAGTTTCGAAGAAAGGTTTGCGCAAGACTTAACATGGACAAATAAAATGTGTGGAAATAAGATTGGTATATAAGTGCTACCGCATCGAAATGTGTCTTAGCGACCTATGAGGTAGTTTGAAATGCTTACCCAATAATCCAGGAAAGATCACAAGAGAGCGGTGGGTCCAGTGTGGTAGAACACATGCAATGATGAATCGCAGGATTGACTGTTAGGAGACTGAGGACGAACGAAGACGTGAGACACAAAAGGACAGCCGGCTGACTTTGATGAATACTTCATTCACGGGAATTAACTTCTATAAATCACTGCTCATTGTGATTCCCAGCTGCTTCACTGATATCGAGAAGCTCAGGATTTCACCACTGATGTGAACATGGAGACAGTCAACGATAAGTTTCTGGTAACGTTCTGCCTTAGACAGGGAAGACAGTACATCATTGCACTGGGAAGCATTTAGCGTTAAGCCGCGGGTGTTTTACCAATGCCCCATTTTAACCAATCAACATTGCAGCATGGTCGAAGAGACTAGATTTACATGATTCGTGCCGATTAGTATGTCATCGCCCATATTGCATTATGGATTCCTCAGGGACAGGGATGGAGCCAAGGTAGGTAGAGAATAATAATGGGGAGAAAATGGCTCCTTAAAGGACACCGAAAGTAATGGTAAAAGGCAAGGAGCTCCTGCCGTTGAACCTGGTTATCTGAGTACGTTTGGCAAATTAATCCTGTAGCAAGATTACTATGGATATTTGGATACCAGAAGCCAGAATATCTTGCAACAACATCTCTCCGTTAACACAACTGAGGGCGTTGGTTTAGTCACGGAAGTATACACGTGTGGCTTTGTACTTGATATCTGGCGAAGATAACACTGAGTACACTAGACAAGGCGCTATGTCTTGTGTCGACCTCGGACTTCCGTACGTAAATTGATGTGCGCCATTCTGACAGCATAGCGTTAACAAATATACAGGAATGAATTTTCTAAAGACCTTTAAAGCCACCGAAGTGCATGCAATAGGTAGATATTTACCTACCGCCTTCTTTGTTATTTGTGTTATCCTAGCTGCTCTCCAACAGTCTGCGATCTTGTCTTGGTTTGGGCACATAGTGTACAACTCAGCTAGCGGTTGGGGTAATGAATGTGCACACTCCTAAAGGATGAAGGGAGACAACAGGTGAGGTCCGCTTGATTTGCCTGAGTTTAGCTGGGTAAACTTCCTGTGAATTGCCACAACAACAACAACAACAAGTGTCGATGAGACTGTAGGCCACTGAATCTTTGCATATGACGAGTTGGGGAGTGATTCACTGCTGGAACAGCAGCAGTTGCGATTTAGTACTTCCACGTCTATGTCAGAGTTCCTAGTATGAGGAGCGATTCCACTAGATTGTTTCATGCTCTGCCAAATCTCACGGAATTTATTTTTCCCCAAAGTTGTCTGGACGTAGGCATGAATGAGGTGGTGAATTTCTTCCCTGATACGAACAGAAAGAAACTTTATTGAAACACAATCTTTAACTTTGGAGGCTCTCTCCTTAAGTGGACGCAGCTGCTTGTGGAGTGGTGAGGAGAACCGGTCAGCACGAATGTGAATAGGTTTCATCGGACAGCAGAGATCATAACAGAAGTTCAGATAACGTGTCATTCGGTCATAATATGTTGATACATATGCATCGAAAAACAAATTGATCTCTGTAGAGGCAACCATTTCATTTGGTTGTGCTATGTTTGGGAGATGAGTGTGTTTTCGTTTAATATTACCTACCTTGCAGCGAATAAGTTCCTTTGGTCCCTCTTACTGTAGACGACAAGAGATAGCCTGACTATCGAATGATCAGAGCTTCCAAGTGGTGCCCGGGTACTGAGTGAAAATATTTTCAGGTTGTTAACAAACACTAAGTCCACAGTCGCTTCTAAGCTAGTGATGCATTTCAGGATGTTCTGTAGTCCAAGTGTTTTGAGGAATGTGTTGGCAAACCTATTGAAATTATCAGCCAATATGTATAGGGATTAGCCGATGCGTACAATGACAGCAGCCGTGAAGTCATCGTAAAATTTCTCTGCTTCTAAGCTTGGAAAACTGAAGGATATATAAAGGTTGGCTAGCAAGCTTGAGCTGTGCCCACTCAGATATTTTGATGTACACTTTAGAACTAGGCAGTCGATTCGTTGATACGAATAACAGAACATTGTCTTCACTGATGAGCACCAGGAAGCGTTAATAAAGGTGATAACACCATCACCGCGGTTGCGGAACGTGCATGGACGATCAGCAAGGTGGAAAATAAAACGGTCAACTGCTACAATAGCGTCTTCAACCTCTTTTGGAAGTCAGCTTTCCTGTGGCTTGATTACTCTTAGCAGCGCTTATTCGCGACAGCAGATGTTGCTTTTAAGGTCTACTATTTTCCAAGAATTGGGCGGACTTTGTTGCTGCAAAAAATAGTTATGTTCATACGCAACAAACGTTCCTTCCGCAGAGCGACCCTCCAACCAACACGATGTTATTTTGCAAATTTATTACCTTCTCTATAGATTTTGCTCACTTTGCTTCTGATAAGCCTAAATATGCTTATCACTTGTGCGGAAACGCTTAACGATTTCAAAATTTCACGATGTAAGTAATCATGGCACTAACCGTAGAGAGAGCAGTAGGTGAGTAAAACCATAGGTACATAAATGGTACCGCTAAAGATGAGGGTGTTGTAATTCCTTGAAAGAGGAACGTAGAGCACAGCCAAATTTGAAGGCCCCGCCGTCAAGAAAAGGAAGCAGGGTCAATAAAACAGACAGACCGTGAATAAAAGTTATCTGCGAAAGTCCTTATTTTTGAAGATACTACACTTCCGCATACTATGCCATAACCGAGGTTCTCTGTATATACATATATATTTCCTTTTGTGGTAGTTTTATGAGTAGCTTAACGAATTATCTCCTGATATAGTGCAAATTGATCGTATGACACTGTCAAACAACCTTGCATTAACATCTCCTTTTATCCTCCGCAAATTAGGTCAGCTTCATAGATTTTGTGGCTCATCCACTGCTAGAATCTTGGTGCGACCTTGTCCATCCCTCCGCGCAAGTAATCCTGGATATACTTGCGGACAATCGCGATTGGTACGAAAGCCAAGCAGAGGGCCAGAAAACGTCGGGTGCAAGCAAGGGTAGACCAAAATTGGCTACTGCAGAAGAGGATGAGGAGGAAGCCGCCGCTAGCTAGCGCAAGACCAGATTCTGCAAAAGCACTGCGTTGCATGTTCTTATATATAACTCAAGTGAACGGGAACACGTGCCAATGCAGTTATGTACGTTTCACACTATCAGGGTCTCATGCTTCATCAAGCGATCCGGTCGCAAGTGCTTCCCACGGTCATTACCCTTTCGGTACAGGGAAGTGCATTTACTACGTTCTCTGTCCAAGAAAAGCGCATCTGAACGTGGCCTATTTTTCAACTGACGAATGCAGTTTTCAGTAGCATTAGTGCACTATCCCACCTCCAACAAAAGTCGTTCGAGATGCGATTCTTTCCCTCCCGTCCATCTTTTTCATGAGCATTTTCTACATGCAAGTTGGATAAACCTGTAGATGACACTCTGCCGTGATGCTCTGATTTTTTGATGATTCGAAAGTCATCTGAAACCCTGTCCCACGACTCTGTGCTCATGTCGGTTATGCCAGATAAAACAAGAAAGGAGATTGTGTATACCCGCCAAGTTCTTCGTGTCGGGTAAGAAAGTGCAGTGCCGTATTTGCAAGTAAATCCTCAGTGTAAAAGTAATATGGCTACCTCAAGCATACTAGTTGCTTCGATGACCAGCTGGTCAGACAATCCGCACTAGCTCATCTGAGATTGTAGTTCACCTTATGTATCATTCATATGTCCTTCAAACACAGCACATATGCTTACCCAGAAGAGAAGCAACACTTCGTACACTCGCATCTTGATTCTGAAGTGAGGTTTGCAAATCACATTAGGCGACACACCGCAGATGACGTTTTTCCCTTTGCATATATATATTACGGAGAATTGAGTGTTCGAGATCTTAGATAATCGGCAACCGATGCTTATCTCCAATGGACCAATAAAATACTCTTGGTTTTATGAAATGATTCACGCTATTTTTTGTGACCATAGAGTGCATGAGAGCAGAAACTTTTAGGGTCCTCTTTTTGGTAGTAACCTGAAATCCCTGACCCATGCCAACCACATTTTTGAATTATTCAAACCTGTTCCTTCGTGTTAACACCCATTAACCACCAGTCTTCCCTTTCATTGTTGTATTTGAACAAAGAAAACAATGTGTATAAACTAGATCAGGTGATGTTCGGGTTCGGTGGATATTTATCTGGACTGAATTTGTAAAACAAATTTTATGAAAATATGGCGTACGAAGGAAGATTAGTTGGGTTACCGAAATCGAATGGATGTTATCCACCTTCGATGCAAATGGGATAGTGGTTTCAGTCGGAACGTGGTCTAAACTTTGCTGCACAGCGACGATGGTAAGCTAGATCCAATGGCACCATGGACACCAGCCTAAGTTGTCTAATATCACATAGTATTAAGCGAATTAGAGCTAACTATTAAGTGAACTAACTGACGTTCTTGTAAATTCGATACAGACCACTATCTTGATGCCACATACTTTTCGTTGATCAATATTGCACTTGTGTGTCAAAGTTACAAGAAGAACTGTTTCAAGAGTTATGGTTCACATCGGCAAAACTCACGGCAGACGGGGATTACTATGAGCATTCGTTGTCTATTCACATTTCTGAGCGCGCTAGCAGTGGATGTCACTGCTAGATTTCACAATGCCACTCAGGTTAGTTTTGCAGCTGGCTTCAACAGGATTCAGAGTGTTGACATGGACTGACCACCTAAATCGGACCTCCGAAAGATAGTACCAGTCTGCTAACAGCACAGCGCCATGCATCTTAGTACTTTTGCGAACGTTGACCGTCTGCAGAGACTCCAAATGATATTGCGCTGAGCAACACCCTCTCAGTAAAATTCATTTTTGGAATCTAGACACCACTGAAGTATTGCATTGGCTGCATGCAACTGGAAGCAGTTGTGAGACAAAAAGATGGCAAAGTGACGGATTAGTGAGCTAGACTAGACTACGGTAATAGATGCTTTGTTAGGTTACATATATGGGAGAGTTGACTTCCGGTCCAGCCTATAGACTGCAATAATGACAATCCCTTGCCAAAGGGCAACCAGTGTTAGTGCAGTTAACTATGGGAAGGTTTCCGGGGAATGTAGTTGGATGAAAAATGAAATTTCATTAATCTTCATTAGTGGAAAATGTCAACACCGTGTATTCTAGATTACCTCTAACGCGGGCGACTCATTATCCAAAGCACAAACTGTTCTGTGGTGTGTGGCTTCTTGTAGTGTATTGAATTCGCACTTCAGCTAACCTCACATAGGCAGGCTGTCGCTATGCCTACAAATGGCTTAAGTTGTGACAATCAGAGCTATCCTGACCGGAAATCCTTGTGTTGGCCTACAATGACGAATTTCTATGCAGATAGTTTTGGAAGTAATGGTTTTGAATTTCGCCGTCATCATGGTAAATGAAATGGTTGGATGGTGATTGCCACTGTATATCATCGGTGCAGCAATGACGACAACAAAATGCTAGGTACCTGATCTTTGCTGAAGAAGACAAAGCGGTGGTTTAGTAAACAAGCAGGAAAATACGAACCGAAGGCGATTGACTGCCTAACTTCTCCGTTAGTACAACAAAATATGTTTAAAACATCAACTTACGCACATTGGGTGGGTAAGAAAAGGGTTCATTCATAAATAGCGGCAGGGAATCGCAGGATAGGTATACGAGCTGGGAATTTCATGCGCTACCAGCCATGATCTTCCCAAGCAATACAAAAACTGAGTGAATATTTTTCACATAATACGATATTAACGATAACACTGTCTTTAGGCGAACTAATCATACATATGCAAAACACGAGTAGCGGAAGTGTTATCATACTGTACGTGGTACACAGGTGATGTGGAAAGCTTTTTAATCTCCTGTCTGCAATATCATAGGGTGGTCGGAACTTTGAAGTTTAAACGGACTTCAAATGACTGAAAGCCAAGGTTTAACTACGCGAATCCATAGTCCATATCCCATGGTATAGAGTCACTTTTGCACTTAGTCATAACTACAGCTGCCTCAGAGCAAAAGTATTTCAACGTAGAGAAGTATTCTGCGCTTGCCTTATGGTTTGGAAGTTTTTTGGGCAGTAGATTTGTTGATAGATCATAAATCTTTTGTGCAATAGACTTAACTTAGAGACTTGCGACCAACAGGCTTTTAAATTATGGCAAGATTGTACCGTTGCCCTGTCGGTTTACATTGGTTCGGCATAGACACATAAATTCTCTTCAGCCATAGGGTTGGGGAATGTTTTAGTGCAGGATGTTGATTCATTAGCGAGAGACGAAAACGATCCATCCATGTGATGTTCGCTCGGGTACAGGCTGCACATTAGTTCTGTAACACATGATTTCGAAAAGTATGAATTACTGGGAAAGAAATCACATCAGACACTGCTGCAGGCCCTGGACTAATGGGGTTTCGTAGGCCATGAAATGGCTTGACTACATAATCTACCTAATGAAATAACCTGAATGCCAATTAATTCATGTTTGCAAGTGATGTTTACAAGCATATGTAAGCCTATTCCTTTTATCCATGATTGGCTTGTAAATACGGTAACCCTTATGGTACACGCAGGTTGCTACTTGGTCTAGGCACGTATTAACTGCGTTGACTTGCAAAAATGGCACAGCATGATCACTCTGTAGATGCGTCAGCCATGCAACAGTATATATTACACCAAACATAACGGAAGATATAGCCCGGGGCTGCGACACTATAGACAACAATCTCAAAGGGCAGAGTTAGTTTGTCTTGGATAGTCTTAATGAGTAGGAAGCCTGGAAGGATGGCATATTTCGGAAAGGAACAATAAAAATTCTAGCGAGGAGTTATATAGTTCAGAGCGGTTGAAGTTAAAATGCGGCAAAATAAAATGGAAATCATGCAATTAACGGGTAAGAGAAACACAGGTGAATGACTCAACCTGAGGAAACTGGTTTCGAGATCCCACAACACATTACAGATTCAGTGACTTGATGGTGCATTTGTGGGGTAGGCCAAGTTAATGAAGAAAGTAGGAAATCGGTATGGAAGGCGAAATGTATCAGGGGAGAAACTGACGAGCGCTATCCACCTTGTACTTGGTTCAAGACTTTAACTGACACGGCCAGCAGCCGGAAACAGTGGCGTGGTTGTTGCCATTTCCTAATCAAACTGCTTGTCTATATTGTGTTTATATTGCGTTTGATGCTAAGCTAATTATAAGGGAAGGATGATGATGATGGATGACGCAAACTGCGAAGTCTCCAGAGACGCTATCTCTCCGATCTCGTCTTCTTTTCATCCGATAGCCACTTGTTTCTGAAAGTGTGTTGTCAATTTGCAGGCGCGTTGCCAATAAAAGGTACCTTTAGATGGTCAGATATTTCAGCAGCATCCTACGATGTTCGTATGAGCAACTAAGTATCCGTTCAAACTACTGATGGGCTGTCGTTGATAACGATCCTCAAGGGAACGTTTATGGCAAAATTATCATTCCCCATCGGCATAAAATTAGAAGGTTATGTCAGGTTAGCTAGAACTGTGACACAGATAACAGAATGCACAGGGTACCAAACCAGCTGACAATCCGGCCACTGCAGTTGCAAGTATGACCAAATACGACGAGTAAAGAGATAAAAGTTTAAACGTCAATCAATGAACAAAAACTATTCTACAATGTCGAAATCGTGTGAAAAGGAGCACTCCAATAAATGTGTCATAAGGAATGGGTAGAGTGATACCGAGCAATGTCCCGCATAAAATAGCGTTGATGACAACCTTACAGGAGAGAACAAAGTGGTATAGGGTTCTACCACTAAACAAACCAAACCATGAATAGTCACTGTTACACCCTGGAGCCAGTACTGTTATACCGGACCAGATTACCGCCTCATGCATTTACCAATATAACTGTATGTGTGGTAGCGCATGCAATGGCCGGTCTGAGAGAAGCTAGTGGACCAGTTTGATGATACACATTCCACGGGAGTTAGTTTTGGACTGTCCAAGTTTTCTTACCAACTCAAACATTAAACATATGATCGATTGCACCGTGCAATG